GACAGGGTCAATAGACCTCAAATTTTATCACGACAACGAGCGCGACAATAACAACGATTGCTTTATAACTTGTCTACGCCATTACCTACAATTTACAATAATCGTTTAAATTTAATATTCATTGTGACTCCAATAATAATGATTCGTGATGCGATTCGCAAAACGCAATTCCTCGGAAAAACTTGAAAATTCAGACAAATTTGTGTTACAATCGTACCTCCATCTAAGAACCCTTCGTACAAGAACATTCATTGATCATCTTTAAAGAAATGGTGATTTTCCACCTCACATATATTCGAAACCAATCACAGTTAAGCATATCGAAAAATATTTAGATCCAGAACCACCTCTCTATTATTTAACAAAGGCATGTAAACAAAATTATTATTTATATTATGTAGCATGTGTGGCACGGAAATTTTAATTTTTTTTGTATATTAGTATTACAGTAGAATTTATTTGTATTTGTGTCATGCAGTAATGAACTTGATAACTTGGCAATTTAAAAGGGAGGAAAGAGACGATTATATTTAGTGTGCCAAGCAATTCAAAAGCCATTGAGCTCTCAACTCTGTATTTGGTATTGTTGTATGTGAAATTGAAATGTGAAATTGAAATATTATGGAATGGGGTGAAATTCCGATTGGCTAATTTGAATTTCACATATGTGAATTGCGAATTCACATAATTTCATTTTCACACGTACAACAGTTATCATTAAATTATTATTGTGCATTTTTTTTAAAAAATATATAACAACTTTTTTAATTAAATGAATAGTTTTCAAGTAATTGATTGAAAGTTCCATAACATCTTAATGGAAGAGAGCCTTGATTCAATTAAACGATCCAGATTATTTTATATTGAAAGAATTTTAGGTCACCATTCCATGATATTACTGAAGGTATCAAAATTTAGTTTAAAATTTAATTTTATCACAGCGAACTTGCGAGCAATTAAATAATAAATTATCTTTATTGATGGGCCAACTTGGACCCGAAATGTTTATCGCAAGTCCACAATTATCAAATAGTAGGCCAAAATTAGAGGTTATTATGCCCAGGAATAAGCATTACCATTTTTTTTTAATTACTACTATATCTGCTAAAATGCAGGTCACAAATCAACCTTGAAACTTGATAGAAATATCGAGTGTTTATCCGAAAAAAATCAAGACGATATTTTCCTAGCTATTATAATCTATCATCTAGATAAATGCTTTATTGGTTATATAGCTTTTAAAAGTCATGTGTTTTGTGTGTTACATATAATATTTTCCATATAATTTTGACCCTAAACTTGCAACTGCTAATATAAAAATAACCTTCATTCATTATTATTCTCTTCTTACAAACTTCTTTTGAAGAACCTTTGGCTTGTTGTGCTAGGCATATATTGGCAACTCAAGATGACTTGAATACAAAATGACCTTTTTGCACCACGACAGCAAATTCTAAAAATCGTCCGAGTCACGTGATATTA